AATTTTTTTTTTTTTTTTTTTTTGTTAATTATTCAAGTTGAAATATTGTATTTTTTTTTTTTAATAACCGGAAAGACTGAAAATAAAGTATTAGGATATTTGAATGCTTTAACAAATTCAGAAAATATTACTGTTTTTACTGTCTTTTTATGGATACATGGAACGTTTAAATTGATAAAATATAACGTCCTCCTTTATTTTTTATCATTTTAAAACCTAATTCTTTCTTTCTTTGCATCAAAATGAATTTATATTAGATTTTTTTGGTAATATTGTAAATATTATATACGCCGTTATAATACAAAAAACATACGTACTTAAGCAATATTGCTAATAACTATTAAAAATGCTTAATTTGTAAAATTATCGTTATTTTTTAAAGTGGTCCCATGGGATGTTATGTAGTAATCAATACAAAAAAAAAAACGATATATTAAAGGGAGTTCTCTGCAATTTTTGAAGTCTCTTTCTCTATTCTTAGATCTTCGTCAAACCATACCCTTTTCTGGCTATTATATATAGTAAACTTCAAACTTCTCTGAATATATCAATTATGGTCAATATAATAATGGTAAAGGCATAAACATTGGAGAAGAGATTGCGTATCTACCGGTATCCCTTCACTACCATAATTATCACATCCACAACAAACTCAGCAGAAATGGAGTTGCCCCCGGCCATGAACCCAACATTCATATTTACTCTGCACAAACCCAGACATTGTGAATTATAATGTATTATAATTATTATATAAATATTTTAAAAGTTTTTCAACTTTTAAGAATTTATCTCCTTTCCGATTTTAACCATCACATCAAAAAAAAATTTTTTTGGTAAACAAAAATTTAAAAGAGGTTGAGTTTTTTAAAGATTACACGAAAAATTATAGTAAAACAATAAAACATTCAATTTAAGTATGATAAAGTTTTTATGGATTGATGAGTTATTAATACTTTAGTTAATATTTTCAGGGCAATACTAAAGACATGATTATATCCGAAAATAAATGTGTTATAAAGATTTGATTCGATAGTGTTTGTGTCAGTGTTACAATATACAAATTATTACATTATAACTCGTAAAACAAAAATTTGACTTAAATGCTGCTTAATTTCTTTTTACGGTACGTTTAAATGAGTTAACCAGACAAAACGCATGTAAAAATACTTATTTAATAATCGTAGGTACTTTTCTATATTACACTACTTCTGTAATTTACGTACATTGTACATGTATATGTAAGAAAATAATATGGTAAATGACGTTTTATATTTTCCCTGTTCTATAATATTGTGTATAATATCTACTAAAATAATTTTAAAAAGTCGTTATAAGGTGAATTAGATATTAAAACGGTGCATGATCCTATTAGTTTTTTAATAATATAAGTGTATTTTAACGGTTCAGTATTATTCATGCATCGAGGGGCGGCTGCAACTCTATAGAAAAAAATTACTTACCATACGTGAAAAATATTTTCTACCTGTTCATATTAGAGTTCAACATTTTTATCTATTCCTCAATATCAACCCTGAGCTCTAAACAAAGAACAAACAATTTTTTACCTTAAATAAATTTGCTGGCCAAAGTTCAAAATTAACTACTAAATTGCCAGACAAGTCGACGTTTTTTTTAAGTAGACGATAATAATCATTACCCATAGCTTCTATTCCAATTATTTAGGGTCGGCTCTACCTTATTGATTTGACAACATTTTTGAACCAGTTGTTGAGCAAGGTGTGTGTTACTGTTAAAGTTCTCACGCGGTGACCCATCCGAAAATTAACAGCAAACAGCGCAACTAAAACATCATCACTAAAGCGGCGACTAAATGTTACACTGTGCTATACCACTCCCCTTAATTAGCCATATCTATTAAAAATTTTGAACATGCAGAGTTAACATAATATGTTAATTCCGCATGATGAAAAATCGTCTTATATTATACAAAAATACATATTTTTATATTACTTTGTGTTACAAAACTTGATAAAAATTTTTTATTTTTTCTTAAAATAGATGTGCGATAGAAATAATGAAGATTTTACGTGGTTCTCTACTTGATAATGAATTACTTTAAGCTTTCCTTTGTTGCAATTGTAAATTTATTTATTAATTTTGTACAGTATTATCTAAGCTACGTATAAATGCACACATAGCAAAGACTTCAAAAGTTATTATCCGGTCGATAAGACCATCAAGACATTTTCCAAGCCTTTATATTATTCGCTCATATAACCGTCGGTTTGTCATCTTTTATCCACAACTGAAATTAATAGAATCGTATAATACCTGAAACAACATCTATCAAATAATCTCTACACTTTCTTTAGAAACTATTTTCCATGTTTATATGTCAAATGTTTCAAATCTAAAAATTACATCTATTCCAGACACTATTAATTTCGTCACTGAGCATTTTTACTATTCATTATTAACGCTTTTTTAGAATAAATCAAAAGGGAGTAAATTTGTCTTTGTCTTGCTTGAATAGACTGCGGCTACGTTGTGTTATGGTTTCATATAACTGCCAATTTATAAGTCTCGGTTACACTAAAGCCACCCTTTTCTTTGTGCAGACTGTACATATTATTACACGTTGGCAAGTCTTGTGTGCATTGTATATAATAATGTACATAACCGTCGCAACGATTATACTACTACGAGAAACCGGCTGTCAAATTAAATAAATTTGCAATTTTCACAAAGAAAATTATCTAATTATTAATTAAGCAAATAATTTAACAAGCATCTAATATTCGAGTGAAATTTTACAATATAGGATCGTAAAATTACAAACATACAATTGTTGAGGTGTTGTGTTTTCATCATAAAGTACTCTTAAAAGGCTTTAATTTGATAGAGGCACGAAGGACACAAACTTTCCAAGAACATTTCCAAAATCGCAACAACAACAGTATTTTTTTTTACTTTATCTGCCGGATTTTTCTGCTCTGAAATTTTGTAGGCACTGTAGACATTTTACCTTACTCCATATCTCTGTGTATATACATACGTATATATTTTTTTTTTTTTTTTTTTGATAACTTATTATTTTTTATATATGGTAGCAATAGTCGTTGCCTGATCTGCGTGCATACCATACACATTGGCGAGTCTTGTGTACATTGCGCATATGATGACGTACATAACCGTGGCGATCACATGGTTGTAAACAGTATGTTGCGGATAAACCGGCTGCGGGCACGAGACATTTGCGCTTACCGATACTGAGCGTACGGTGTGGAACGAACAGCGAGGGGGCGCAGGATCGAGTGAAAAAGAGACGCGGCGAGGAAGACGTCGAGATCAGTAATTCCTTTTACATTTTTTTCCCTACCTCTTCGCTATGCATTTCTTCTCTGTCGCTGTCATCGCCTCCATGTTTCTGATTACAACAGACGTCTAGACTTTAGATTACACAGAACGTGTGTTAGAGTCTATCCATAGACTTTTACGTGTAATAAACCGATACAGCCACCTCTCCACTCGTTCTATTCTACTCTAATGAAAAAAGCCTCGTTTGAGGCTGTGCAAAATTCGACGTGTGTGTTTCTCGCACCAATAACTAGAGAAAAACATGGGTTTTCCCAATGTGCCACAGGATGAATAACTCCAATGATAACTAAAGCAAAAGTCCGGAATTCTTTGAAAACGTTCTTATATGCTCTTTTACTTAACTCGAGGGAACGAATAAGCATATTTCCATTACTATTATTTTTAGAATTTCGTACTCAATTCTTTGTAGTTAGAATAAAATTTATTTTCCCATGAATTATTTTAGTTTAAACAACATGTTTGTGTTATTTTTTAAGGCTAGGAACGATATGCGTTTATAATTCTGTTAAGTTATTCTTAATACACAATCGGCCAGTAAAATCTTTTATTAATTGATTTGGTAACTTAGTAATGTGTTGTTACCAAGTTTATAGTTTTAGGAGGATTTGTCGTTATCGATTATGTTATTTTTATCATTATGCATTTCTCTGCCACACTACTCCTCCTGTCCAAGTATAAAAATATTCATAACCCCTAAACTACTGGTTCAAAAATTGTTAATCGGCAGTAATTTCTTTAGTTACATAATTTTCTATTGCATAAACTAATTATATATGTAAAAATAAATTATGTCGGTACCCTTTTATTGGACAAGGGATGGGTATAAAATGTATGTAACCATTTAAAATTCGACAAATAAATACTACTTAAATGACTAAAAAATATTCTCAAATATATTATTTAAAAATAAAATAGGAACCAACGATAAATCAATCATTCTCTATGTTTGAACATAATTATGGTAGTAATTAATATCAACTATTTTTGTGTATTAATTTTGAGCGAATGTGAGAAATATTTTTTTTGGGGAGTTTTAAATTGTACTCGGGCCGTGATTTGATAAATCAGAGGCTACTTCGCATTTAATAACTACAGTTTATTAAAGGATATTTGCATGGTATTTTTAAATACACTTAAAAATAATCTAATTGATGATCGATTAAGTAGAAATTTAAATTGCATTAGAAAAATGATAGAATATCTAAAAATACTGATTTTTCAATTTTCAAGTTATCCTATTTTCTCAATTGAATTTTTATATTTAAGAAAATACCTGATATTTAATTATATTAACAAATGGAAATTTAAATACAGTAACTTTAGTTCCATTTAAATTAAACTTTGTTTAGTTTTTATATATATATATATATATTTGTACATTGTTAAACTAATGTAGTATACACGATGAACTTAATGTTTGTGTCTGTACATCTAGTGGCGATCAATGTGTGAAAATACTTAAAAAATTTCTTTTTTTAACATTGAACCAAAATCATTTCTAAATAAACGGAAATATTTATTTCTGGAATTACTTTTAAGTTATAATTACAAATACGTTTATAATGATATATAGATGTTATAACGAGTATACATCTTAATAGCTTATGCAGCACACCAATCATACATTACTGTGTAATTAAACGATGTAGTAGACGTTGTTAAACATTTTGAAACCGGATCTTGGGTGTGTACAAAGTTGCGGATAATATATTTGGAATTATGCGGAGTCTGTCAAAGGTAGTGAGCAAAATAATATGAAAAATATTTATACATCTTGTACCGATGATTTTGCATTATATTCCGGCGCATAACACGTATAAATATGTGTTGTACAGTGTGTAACAGATGTATAGGTATTGGTGAGCATGTTACAGTCGAGTTTTTCACAGACACTGATGCAGACGGACCGGCGGTTGGGTGCTATCATATTGTTCGGTCGGTCATTGACATTATTGGTTGCTGTATAGACAGTCAGGTCGGCCTCCGGCTGAAAAATTGCCAAGGGAACGGCTGCCACTTTGTGTGTACCAGTGCGAGACGACCTGACCGGATCCCAGACGCAAGGCCATTTTGTCTATGTCCTTCTACCCGGTCGCATTGTTTTGAGTCTTCCAGAATGACAGTGCTGGTTTCGAACACTTTCGGTTTCTGGACTGTGCCCTGTCGTCAGTGCCGATACATTTAATAAAACCAAAGAACCTTTAAAAGTGTCCAAATCTCGTTAGGACCGTTTAGGTATAAATATATCACCAAATAGACAAAATGTATATTTTTACACATTTTCATTGAAATTTGACTCGATAATTAGATATCTATAATATATTCATTCAGGTTGTCTGGGACTATGCAAAGTTTTAAGTCACTATAAGATTGTCATAATACCAATTTTTTGTGTCTTTATCAGACGAATCCATTCAAACAAATTTTTGGTCATAGCCGTCAAGATTAGTTGCAAGTAAAAACGCATCTTCTAAAATGCCCACGATTGTTTATTTCTTGTACACATACAGAGTGTTTCAGACCTAACTGACAACGTTTATAACTTGTGATACAAGTATATTTCTTTTTTTTTTTTTTAATTATTGCCTTCTTAGATTACATTTAATGCATATTTTTTTATTACTTATCACTAATAAAAAACAATGTTTTCCAAAATTTAAAAAGAGCTATTTTTAGCCCTTTTCTTACAAAAAATTTTGGTGGGTCGTTAACATTATTAGGAAAAGTAATAATTGAGTGACAAACATTTTAATTCATAGAGTACTCCGCCTGCGTCAATACCCATAAATAATTATTTTTAAAAAAATTTCAACAAAATGATAATTGTATTAAAAACTATAAACGTTGTCAATTAAGTCTGAAACACTTTCTATATATATATATATATATATTCATTTTTTATACTTCTAAAAAAAATTGAAAATATCAATAGTTTTCATTATTTTTTTCACTATTCCGTATTTTATTTTTTAAATAAAAGATACTGAAATTATAAAGCTTTTAACTATAAACCGTATAATCATAATTGTCTTATTCCTTTTTTTTTTAATTGCAATATTAAAATATATTATTAAACACAAAAAATTAATTTTTAGGAAATTTCTTATATTTTTTACACATTTTTTTTTTTTAATGAATGACTCATATCTACCAAATTTCTGTGTGCTAGAGTTAATTTAAAATTACATTATAACTTGAAGTAAAAAACCAATAGATCGTAGGACACACGATAAAGTGAACTCCTGAAATGGGCTCTCAACACTCAGGCAGATTTAATCGGATTTTTTTTTATCGATTTTGTATTACATTTATTTATGTTCACGACACCTTAAAAAGTTTCATCCGAATCACAAATTGTTTACAGAAATGGCAGAAACTTTATGTTTTGGTTGATAATTGTAATCACATTTATTTTCATACTGTTACGGTGTCGAATATATTGAATTTAACAATCGTCTTGTTTCGCTTGGTTTTGTTGATGAATTATGGTCGTTAGGTATTTTTAAAAAACGGATCGTTTTCAAGAATGCATTTAATCTAATACCTTTAAAAATATAAATTCATCCAATATACTAAAATACAATTCGTGTAAAGCGATGTAATATGAAAATATGTGTATTAATATTTAGTTGTATGAGCGCAGTGCTGTCTGAGCAAAGTAATCATTCCAATAGCAACCGTTTGAATAATACAACCGTAGAATACCTCAGACGGTTCTATTAAAATTCGTCTGGAATTATGTTTGCTCGGAAAAATCGTATGAAAATTTTAATGAAACCTTATTTGGAAGTCATGTGTTCATAATGGACATTATTCTCACAACACGGTCTTGGTAATGCGTTTTACGTTGGTCTAGTGTATTTATGGACCGTGTTTCGTCTACTACGGTGGTGACGTCACAACGGACGTGTTACGCTAAAAAAGAAATAGAAAATTTGACAGGTCTGACCATGAAACTTCTGAAGAGTTTGATTTCGTGTCCGAAAAACAATCATTCTCATGTCGGCATTCACCCGTTTTTTAATAAAATATTTCGCTTATTGCAACGGCTTTGTCTGTATTTTGGGTTATAAAACAAATCTATCCGCAGTGTAACGGTAATGGATACGTTTGAATAATTTGATATTAAGTACTCGGCGTTTATGTAATGTTTTATTGTGTAATTATACGATATAAATTTGAATGTTTAATAAAAGTTTTACCGAAATTCTCGATATTTTAAACGGAGTTGATTTTGAATTTCATTACCTGTAAGAGAGGTGCACACCAAGTTAGAAACTTAATTAATTTTAATGTCAAACAATTTGTTAAATGGGTTTAATTTTTGAGCTCGTACATTTGTTTTTTGCTAAATGAATTTTTTATTTTAGGAAAATTATATTTTAATTTTCTTATTGTTTAATTTGAAATATAAAGTTTTGTATTTCAAAAAACGATTTACTTTACCTAAAGAAAAATAATGTAATTAAATTTAATAATGACTTATTATTAATTTTTACTTTAAAATGTAAAATTCTTTAAAAACATTATGAACAGATGTTATATCTAAATTCATTAATTTTCCTCTTACAAGCCAGTATAGATATTTTTGTAACTTCTTATGATAAAGAACGCAATTTCTTTAATATTTTTAGCTCGCAAGAAGAAAAGAAAAACTCGTTTTATTTGAGAATTATAATATCTAAAATTAACAAAAACACTGATTGTCTCTCTGGAAAATGTTTTAAATACTTATACAATTATTATGTATACGTTTATAGAAAGATAATTTTTTTTATAGTTATACCACTACTATATTACGTGATATGTTAGTCTGTTACAACTAGTCCTTGACTTCAGTGATAAACAAAAGCGGCAAGAAACCTTTGTCCGTTCAATGGACGTTGCAATTAATTCGCACTTAATATTGTAATGTACTTGAACACATATTGCTAACGTCATTTTTTTCTCTAAATAATCTCTGATTACATTTATGTGTACGTTTTAAAAAATATCTCGGATCTATGTTATTTATTTGAATCGGCGCAATTAGCTGATTGCCAAGCCAAACAGGACGTACTTTATTCACTTACCGGCGTGTCATTATTGTTATATTTTTTAAGCATTCAAACGATATTATCATATCCCTCGGCTTGATCGCCATTTATTTCTGTACTTACCCTTACGAGTTACACTCCCCAGCACAGCGGTCTTACAACTTTATCGACGATGGTGAAATAACGGCCACGAAGCCGATGCGAGCACCGCGGTAAAAGCCATTTTTTATCATTCTTCCTTGCAAACAATGGGGTTTGAATGCTTTCGTAATGCATCTGCCTTGATGAACGATAAAAAAACTATTGCCTTAACCAGTTAAAATTTTATAGCGTTCAAATATTAGACTCGACTTGCTGGTTCTAATGCCGTTTAAAATAAGTATTCATAATAACAATCTCTCAGTTTATTGCAAGTTTAAATCTCTGTTTCATAATAATGTATTGTTTCATTTGCAATGCATAATTCATGCTCGAGTATGAAATGTAATTAATATTGTACGCAATTATATATTTTGAACTTATACATTTTTACATAATTTTTCCATTAATTAATAATGTATTTTACTTTTGCAGGAGAAAAATTCGTTTTTAAATTTTAACGTGAGCTGTATTTTGACACTACCACCATATCAAAGACAAGGTTATGGCAGACTACTCATTGATTTTAGTGAGTATAATATTCTATGGTTTACAATATTATTTCTAATGTTATTATTCTCAAAACAACTCTCACGAACTTGTCCCTGTATAATTGTTTAATATTTATTTCATCACTTGATATTATTTTATACCTATTAATTTTTATATGTCGGCGCCCCAGTTAAGAACTGCAACAATTCAAAAATTAAAATTTTGGATTTAATTTTTAAAAGTTAATCTTTCACAAACCCATTAAAATATTTAAGTTATTTTCCAAACGGGGCGTATTCAAATTTGAATTTTACGTATGAGGTTATTTAAAAATTCATAATTAAATTGTTATAGTGAACATTTTTTTTTTCGAATCGTTGCAGTTCTGAACTTTTGTGTTGATATCACATATGCGATTTAATCATTTAGTTATACAACACTCTGTCATGTGAAGTCTAATTAGTTGGGTCAATTTTTATAACTACACAGAGTTATTAAATTAAAATTTATGCAATTTAAAATCTTTGTACATATTTGGTGTGTTTATATAATTGAAGTACTGTTTGAGTTCGTTTATTTTGGCTAATACTGGTCTTTATCAAGCTTATTTAATTCAATTTCGTTATTAAAATATTGAATGACTTAGTTTTTAGACAATTGCATACTTAAATGAAAAATTAATTATTTGATAGCCTTTACTACAAATTATTTCCATTGTCGAAACATGCCATTTTTAAGTATTTGTTTCTGAAATTAAATCAAATGACATCCGTTTAAAGTACTATTTAAACAATTACACAACAAAAACTTTTGCAGTGACATTATGAATGAGTTTTTTCATTTACAACTCAAAAATCAATTATATGTGCTTTAATCTGGTCAAAATCAAGTTTTCTGTTAGAAATATGGTTTTGTTACGACTTCATTACATTCTTCGATTTATTAACAACACTATTTAATAAAGTATCTCGTAATCAAATATGATTGCTAGACGTATTTTCATCTAAAAAATGTTAAGTTGGTGTTCATTTCAAGAAAAGTGACGGGGTAATTTTTATAATTTTAGTTTCAAATTTTTGTTAGTGATACGAAACGCATTCAATTTAATTTTTAAAATCTACCTAGGCGTAAATTTATAATTTGTATTAATATTAATTTGAACCCGACCTCAGTACACTATAATATTTAATATAAAATAGATAATTTTCATCCATTAGTATTAAGTTAAAATAAATCATGAGAATCTTTTCTCTACTTTTTCGACACAAGAAATTTCACATTAAAATTCTTTAATATGCCAAATAATATTCGGTGTATTTTCTTACTACTAAAATTAGTATTTTAAACTTTTTTTTTTTAACAATATTTCAGTTGAAATAAAAAATTTCCTTGTATAAAATTTTGTTGTGTTGAATATTTTTTTATTTTAAATAACAATTTTCTGTAAACCAGGACGATTATTTTCCACATAACTTGAATTATTGCCTAAAACTTTCAACCGCTGTCTGTGGTGTTCACATAATTTTTACTTAGTAAATTTGCGGATTGTAAAATTTCTGCTCGTTTCATACCACCCTGTTAATTTTACCGTATCATGTGTCCGGTACGAGCAATACAGATTTGTATTATTGTGTGCCGCCTTATTTGCTAGTATTACAACAGTAGCGGTCGTTGCTCTTGCGACACACAACAACGTTATGGCGGATAGGTTTTGATCCCTTCGAGCCTACTGCGTCCCCCAGCCGGAGCAGAGCTGGCATGGTTACATTACGCACTAAAATCATGTGCAGTCAGAAGGATAGGGATAGGAGTAGGTGTCCGTTTGATAACATTGCACCTCCACCAGCCCGTCTGTTCCCCTCGTGGCCACTCTAGTCACCCCGGAAGCTAGTGACGAACACAGTGCAGTAATGCAAGCGTCTACCATCATCATCATGATCACCGCCATCGTTGCAACCAGGTCGATATGGCTAGACAGTACGCGTACCGCACGCACCCGCCTCTTAAGTGCCATCCGGGACTGCATTTATTTCCCCTCCGAGTGCACTACGAAACGCATATATATTACTGCGTTCGAGCATCGTCGGCCTATGGATTGTTGTTTCAAGGGGTGCGTGGTGGAAGGGGAATACAAAACGCACCAGACACATCCCGCACGGTTTGGTAGGGTTGCCCCGACCCGCGCCAGTCTAGCCGGACACCCTGTGCTTCGTCCTTATAATATTATACTGCCATACGTGCAATAAGTTAGGGTTATATAGTCAGAGGTGGCGGTTTTTTGATCTGCCGGCCGTTCGACGACAACAGAGGCAGGCAAAAAAATATTTTTTTTAATTGCGTGGGAATTGCACCAACCTCCTACTGTTGTTGTACCTTTTAGTAACTCATTTAGTATCGCAGCCCTCTCATAACCTATATGCTCACACACATAATGCGATTTTCTCTTCTTGCCCCTCCTCTTTAATATCCTGCCTAGTTTATTTTGTGTAACCGGTCGCTTTGTATTCGTATGTAGAATTAAAGTCATAGTTTCGACACTTCAAAGAATTCAATTAAATTTTCCTTTTATTCTTAGTATATTGTAAAGAGAGATTTTCACCATTACATTCATCTCGATAGACTGCTTGATTACTTTGATTAAACCGTGTTAATGTAGAAATAAGGGTAAAAAAATGCTAATATTTATTTTGAATATATATTATATTTAATATTACGGCGCGACTTTTATTTATCTCTTGTTGATTTAGTTATTTCGCAAAAAAGGAATTTGTATTAATGTCAACATTTCCATTCGAGTAAATGGTTAGGTAACAAGTTTAGTATTGCCTATTTACTAGGCCTCTAAATTTTTCACTTGTTATGATTAAACTACCATTTGTTCCAAGTTAAATTCCATTGTATAGTTTGACTAAAAGAAGTAGGAAAGTAGTTTTTTATGGATCAATCATATAGTATAGTTGGCCTACTCAAATTCGTGTATCAAAAAAATTAAATTTTTTAAAAGTTAATTAAGCTGACTGAGAAAATAAAATTAATGTATAAAAAAGTAAATATTTGTTATTTATTTGACTATAGTAAAGACGTTTTAACCATTGTACCATTCAAAAGTTAGCAACTTGCTCTGCTCTGCTAAAACACTTTAAAAAATAACTTTGAAAGAATTTTCTTGTTTTATATGGAAAAACTACCTTACTTCTTTTCATGTGTTTAAAATTATTTATACCTTATATTGCTTAAGGAAATCGAGATTTTCTGATAATAAAAAATATTTTCATGATATATTTACATGAAAAAAATGTTATCCAATACGGCCTTTAAAATTAAAGTAAAAACATTATTTGGAAATAAATTACCATAAACCGAAACTTTTTTAGAGTTTATTTAAAAAATATGAATTCCAAAAAAATATGTTTTGATTTTAAAAGTATTGGCCTTGAAAATATTCTACCTTTCCTTAGTTAGACATTCAAAAAATAATTGATAATTTGTGTTTATACATAAATTTCACATTATAATACTTAGGTAGATGTACTTTGCATAAATTATTATTCAAAGAAACGTTAGGCTGTCTAGACAGAAGGTGAATCATTTTTTTTTTTTTAACAACATGACCTCAGATTTAATTTTGTAGATGATGTAGTAATCGTGTTTGCTGAAAATATTGATTTCTTTTAAATGATAAAATCCAAAAATTAAATAATCTTCGAAGCGTCTCCAAAGAGCTACTATGAAATTTAAAGTAGTACACATATCACTTTTTATGTGCATTAAACTTGAAGACTTACCTAGATCATATCATTTGTTGAACCATAATTTAGGGATAACTTTTCTATGTGACTCATGTGAAATATTTTGATTGATTAATTAATCAATTAGAATATATATAGTGTGATCGTAATGCATAACTAAATATCAGTAGAAGCCGATTTAGTTTCTGTGATGGCATTTCATCAAAAACATAGTTACTGATAAAAATTGTTCGGCTTCTAAAAAATGAGTTTGAAATTTGCGAATTTTGCTCGTGTGTATAAATACACTTATTAAAATTTCTAACATAAATTTTCGAACTTTAGTAACCACTTTACAGAGCAACCAACACGTGTAGTCAAATATTATCGTTTATTGGTTTCTTTTCTTTTTTCCCATCAGGCAACAGTTTTAAAAATTAAATATTTATCAAAATTATTAATGTACATTACTAAGTAATACTTGTTAAAAATAATATATTTTTATTTCCTTTGAACAATTTTTAAGCAGTTCAATGAACTCAACTTAAATTTATTTTAGAAATTATAAGTATTTAAAACAGTCTCTTCATTGATGTTATTTAACAAAATTCTTTTAATAACTCTTAAAATTAAAAAAAAAAATTATATAATTTTATATTTTATTTCCAAACTTTTATATATTCAATTTTTCGTGTTTGGTTTATATAAGATTTTAATATATTTTTATCATTTCGCATTATAAAATTATTATAATCTAAATAATTTCCCAGTATAAATAAAATGGGGTATTAAAAAAATATTTATTAAAACAATTGTAACGTGACTTAGTCATAGACTTAGTCTAAAAAATCAAATGATTTAATTAAAAAACTGTTCGTGTAATAACAACACTTTGTATCGTCGTTTCGTTTCTTGTGCAAATAGATATATGTTTTAAATTTATAAAGTTTGATGACACTTCCAGAAGTTTTAATCGCAATATCTATCTGAACAAATTCTAATTATTTAATTAAGTAAAATTATTATTGTGTTGACACATTCTGAGCGCACCTTTCATAACGACACTCGGTTGTTTTAATCCCAAAAAAATACGGCATAATTACATTAAAAAACTTTTAACAATGTATATTCTAGTAAATTAGTATACATGTTAAATAAAGCAATATAACGACAAAACTAATACTTGTATAAAAGTTTTGTTTTATTGAATACTTTATTAACTCCATCATTGGTAATTTATTTAGTATAACTATTTTGACATTTTATATTACAAAAAGTATTCCTTTATTTACAATTTTTATTCAATATTAAAGTTACAATATTTTACACACAAAACTGTTCTTTTAATTAATAACTATTTAAAAATACATATTTTTATTGTAATATTTTTGTATAAATTTCGAATGAAATTAAGATATAAATCATATTTATATTTGATATTTTTTCCCCAAAAATGTGTTCACCTACGATGTTAAAAAAATCAAGTGACGGTTTTGTACCATGTCTTCTATTCCAAAAAAAACCCTAAGTAACCAGTTGTACTTAAAATAATTGACCGGATGTGTTGTAACATTACTAATACTTAGTAAAAATCCAGGTGCTCCCTTAATCTTGATCCCATTTCATCAAATAACCAAATTACATGTCATACCACGTACTTGCCTGTATTATCTGAGAGGGTTATCTTTATGTAGTATTAATGTTTACCAAACTTGTTTAATCACTTAAAATCAACTTCAGTGCAATATTTAATTTGAGTTTTTTTTTTTTTTTGACATAATGTTAACTGTATTAAATATAAACATCATACATGTGAATATATCATTGGTGTCATTTATTTGAAAAAAGTTCAGTTACTAATTAAGTTAAAAAATAAAATTATTTTAGTAAAAAAAAGCCTATTTTTGTATTTTCTAAATAATTAAAATAATTTTTTTGTGCAAAAACAAACGTTTCTATGTTCAACGATGATACGAGTATTTTTTTTTTTATTATTCCAAATTACATTTAATATAGCCAATTTGTACTGTTGTGTCATAGTGTAACAGATAATTACACACAATGTTCTAATGAGTGGCTTTACGAATTTTTTATCGAGTAATCATATTGCCAACCATTATGGTGGTTTACATTATGATTAATAATATGATTATTAGAATTGCTCAACGAATTTCCTAGATAAGTAAAGTGTTTGGTTAAATGAGGAATAAAATTGAAATTTAAACTAGAGTTTTACAACAGAAATCGTAAAGTCTAACAAATAATAGTTTTATTGACGAGACAATCCGGACTATTAGCTAGTGCTCTAGTATATACGCTTGAACCGGGATTTAACTGGGATTTTCTAATAAATTAAAACTCGGACTACGTGTGTACACTTTATAGAATAAAAAACGAACACTGCGACCAAGTTTGTGTGTATGTTTTCTACCGATAATAACCGGAAACAAACTTCTCCGGTGCGTTCCACGTACTCGCCCTCCTTGTCTCTGTACGTATTGTGTGAGTGTACTCCGCGCCGAGTTGTATCCAATTGCGCAAAGGGTAGCGGCCGCTGCAAAAACTAATTCCGCAAGTTTAATTTTCAACTCGCACACGTCTGCTTTACAAATAAATTACCAGTTTCATAGGTACGGTAGCTTACCGAGTGTATAATTTCTGTTGCTTGCCATCTTCCGCCGTCGCCAGTACGACACACCGAGAAAAGTGTCCCGGCAAAGGGCCATGAACCCTCTCAACGACCTGAACCGGCGCTCGATAAAAATGTAATTCAATCAACGGCCGTCGGAGGAGTTTACGTATTCATCGCTGGCATTGATGATTAAATACATTTAACGTTGTTATCGCGGGATGTGTAGAGGCCTGCGAACCCGGTAAATGTCACCCAGTGACAGGTGCATGGCCGTGTTGATACAACAAAAAATAATTGTTCGTATTGTCTCGTTGTGTTTCAACTCGAAGTAAATGTAATTACTGTTAATCGTTACCGGCTAATGTGTCGACTGACATTTTACGATTATTGTTTTACCCGTTGGCTCCGGGTCACTATATTAAATTATGTAGGGAAATGTAATAGACTGTAGGAATCGTTACATAACAGTCGTTAAACCTTTTTAACCAATTTTTCAGATGTACGCAAATAATTGTTATTTACGTTGCGCCAATAGCCATTTTGTTTCTAGTCTAATTTCACCTGATTGCAATCAACGCTTGATAATAGATAACTAGTAAATGCGCTCGTCAGTTGATCGGCTTATCTGCGCGGGGCTACTCCTCCAAGAAGTTGTTGAATGAGCGCTAATCTGTTTTTTAGCGTTTGAAAAAGCCTTTTTGTGTCGCGCATGTTTGATTGCCATTTTAAAAACGCAATAATTTTTGTTTCGGCAACAAAGCTATACACCACCACCTCATACATGTGTGTGATATTATTACATCAAATACACGTTAAGCCGCGTTTATGGGTTTGGTCTGCAAACAGTTATCAACACTAATCCCGACATTGATTAAGGGCAAATCCTTGTTGCTGTTTTAGTACAAATCGCACGTTTTTCGGATAAAATAGTCGCCCAAAACTGTTCCATTGTTTAGTTGTATTGTTTATTAGAACTTATTTTATGTTACAAATGGTCGCACATCTATAGAATTTCTTTTAAAAACGCACATTCTATCGACCCATCTTCATTATAAGCTACTAAGTACTTATTTTTAATTTTTTTTTTTTTTAAGACCGTCTGATAGTACGATTGTCCATATTCAGGTGTTGGGAGATAAATCTNTAGAATTTCTTTTAAAAACGCACATTCTATCGACCCATCTTCATTATAAGCTACTAAGTACTTATTTTTAATTTTTTTTTTTTAAGACCGTCTGATAGTACGATTGTCCATATTCAGGTGTTGGGAGATAAATCTAATAGGATATAAATTCAAACTTTAATTAGAGGAAAGACAACTATTGTCTTAGTTTTTATTTTTGTTACTTTATCGCGGGTAAAATATATTTTCCATTTGCACATTTCTAGGGAATTTTAAAAAATCATTAAACGTTTTTTTCTAATACAAGCTTCTAGTTTTCGATAATGCTTTTATTCGAACTTATATACACTCTTTTACTGAATCATAAACATTAAAAAGACAATCTTAAAAATAAAAAAAGTTTTTATTATTTTGCTATAAAAGTACGTCTACGTTAGCTTATACAAAGTAATTTATCGTTAACCTGTGTGAAGTTCTTGATAAGTGGATTTATTTCCAAAAAAAAAAATCAAATTTTTAATTGCATCGTTATCAATACATCATTAGTATTGATAAAAATCTATTGTAATTCTTATCTGGATTGTAAGTTTTAAAGATTATATTGATTAATTTTAACTGGTATAATTTGTAATTTATCTTTTTACTTACAACACAATCCGTTACTTTGACCTTTTTAAAGTAAATCATAAACAATAATTTCTTTACAGTTGATACAAAAACAATTATCTCTTAACCCGTGAAAAACGTCAGTTTTTTAAAAAAGCAATTTATCAATATGAATTTTCTAGATTAATTTTGACCATCGAAATCGTACCACTTGCGCTCAACCAGTGAATTTTTTACTCTAACTAAAATATTTATCTAACTTTTATGTACAAAAACTGATTAAAACATCTCACCGTGGCGGCCATTATCTAATTCAAACTGAAAGTACGACGAGGACGTAACTCATCTGTCGAATCGCTTGCATTTGAACAATACAAAATGTATCCAATATATTGTCAAGACAAGAAATCGATGTTGTCTGGCAACTTAAGTCTCGAGTGTATTTAATAAAACTATTGTCGTCTTAAAATACATAAATAAATAAGTCAAAAACCTTTACCCAGCTTAACTTAAAAGCCATTCTCAGAACTTGTAATAAACTAATGCACGAGATAATGCATAATTGATGTTGTTACATCACTACGGTCACGGTACCCGCCGTATGAGTTGTTTTATACTTGGCGGTTGTACCTTTTCGGGTATCAATACATTTTACATCCGACCCAGTCCAGTCGACATCGCAGGAAACGACTACAATAGGAATATTGATCGGCCGAATGTGCACTTTTGAGCGCATCTAGGCGCGGCGTCTTTGCATTTTTTGCTTGTATTGATTCGGCAAACTTTACGGGTTGGAATAATTGTTCTGTGTGAGCTCGCGTCTTAAGTGTGCGCAAACAGAGTTTCATTAGAACATGATAAACAACAACGCCTCGATAATTGTCAAACGACGGGTTGTATAAACAGATATTAATATGCGTTGGTTTATTTGTTTCAGGTTATTTGCTTACCCGTGTGGAAGGCAAAGTGGGTTCGCCCGAAAAACCTTTGTCTGATTTAGGTCTGATATCGTACAGAAGCTACTGGAAAGACGTCCTACTGCAGTACCTCTGTGATTTGGGCGGAAAGCAGTTATCGATAAAAGGTGAACTTGTCAGTATTTATTTATCCGTTAAAGTGGGAACAGTTGACGTAACACCGACTGACCTGTTGTTACGAATCAACCGTTGTGCCAACGACAAAAATTTTAGGCGGGTAAATGTTGATAATGTGATATTTTATTCGAGATAAGGTCGAGTTTTGCCCGGGTCGTTTGTTGATCTGTCGAGGGGGGCGAGTGTTACCGTGACGCATTGGTGTTCACGACCCGCGTCTACAGCCCGACGGTTTTCCTACGCACGCCCTCGCGAATTTTTTGTAATCCGACTCGCCACCTCCTCGCAACAACCGCATTTTCTCCCCTCGATTAGGTTTTATGACGCGCCGCGGACGGGTGTAAAACTGATGTTGTTGCTTTCACGTGCTGACGACCGTGTGTCGTAAAAATCAAATAATACCCGAAGGTTTTACGACCGGATCGCATATAAACATGGCGTTGTGTATGGTCTAAAATAAACCCCTTTTGCCTCCCCTCCTGTACCGGTCATTGCCGCCGTGCACTGGCGACACGACCTACCTCAACAGTGTTGTTACGCGTGTAGGCACGTGGAACGCCGGCCGTGGCACCAGAGGGTGTCACGCAAGGGCAACGAACTCATTCGGCTCTCGGAGGGTATACTCAAACGGGTTGCGCCATTTAAAAATTATTGTGCCCGGGTTCAGTCTGCGAATTTTTATTTTCACACACGCACGCTCGGAGATAATAATTCCTCGGCAACTTTTATGTCTTTATGGGAATTATAATCTCAGACACGTAAAAAATGTCTACCGTACCACGGCAACTGTATATTTATTCAACTGAGATTTGCAAACAAATGTTTGAAAATGTATATTGTTTTAATAAAGACCGCTTTTTCTGAACACAAACCAATGGCTAATCTGTTGGGTATATTTATTTGTATACATTATTATGTTAAGTAACAGCCTATCTATAATACAAACTGTATTTTACTAAGAACGCTGTCGATAAATGTTATAAGATTTTAAAAGTAGTAAGAAGGGAAAAATTATTTTTTTATTTGAAATGACTTACGAGTATATTCGGGATGTAACAGATCTAACTGACAACTCATATAACTTACGATCTACATAAAATGTAATACTTTTTTTTTTTTTTTTTTAACCAATAATTACAATATATGACTGTATTTAAAATGTGTTTTATGTTATTTTCGCAACTAAATAAAATATTGAAAAAATTAATTTTTTTTATTAAAAATTTAAAGGTTTAAAAATGTTGATACCAAAAAATCTTATTTTAATTTAGTAGTTACGTTTCTATAGAATTTTGAAGTTTGTTAAATTATAAATTTTGTTTACGATTTTTCTATGGTATCAAACGTTAGTCCGCGTATGAAATGGACGGAAGTATTCATTATCTTTTTACGTTATTTCCTGGCGACAGTACGCAACTTCTTTTCCATGAAAATTATAGTAACTATTATTTTGGCCAAGTTAAAAGTGATAACAATAACTAACTTGCGTGTTCTATCATTGACATCATATCATTATAGAATATCCCTTGTTAGGAGATTTGATAATAAATGCATTTATTCTTTATTATTCACGTTTAAATTTATTTAACACGATCCTGTTTAATTAAAAACTCAACATGTTTCGGATAAAGTTTTTATAATTTTGGTATCAAATTTTTTCTTTAAAATTTATCTATAAAATAGCTTACTTCAATCTTAAAAAAAAATTATTTTTTGTAATTGCGAAAAATAACATAAAACAAATTGTAAATATAGACTTATAGTATAAAAATTGATTAAAAAAAAAATAAAGTATAAAATGTCATGTAGATCATAAGTGAATTGTCAGTGAGATTTTTTCCAACTTGTATACCAACAGAGCCAGTCAAAAATATACTTTTATATCGGTGACAAAAAAAATTGAAATCACTCAATACAAGAAAACAATACATTAAATGAAATAAAAAGTTTCAACAAAGAAATATAATAAACTGGTACTCGTGCAAAGAACAATGTAAATTTCACCGGCTTTTGAAAACTCAATGAGTTTTACTGTTGAAAAGTTATCTCGAGTTTTATCGTTGTAAATCTATTGATTTTAATACATAAAAGAATACAAATAATATAATGTAATTGATACTTCATTGTCTACGGACACTCTTACGTAATAATGTTAAACAGATTTTTTGTACACTATAAACATTTCTTATCAATTTAACTTTCCGTATATTTCAGAGTAAATGCATTAAACTTTACCATTTGCAACACGTGTTGCATTGACGAATGGAGAAGCTTCGGCGGTATTTCGTTTGATGTTTCTTTTGAAGCCGTTAAACTTCGTACACTATCTACCTGATTAAATACCAACTGTAGCTGTGTCTACGTTTGGCAAAGTAGAGTTTAATGGGAGACGACAGCCGCGTATATAATGCAGACCCTCGTGAAAATGTCTAGACGGTTTTTATGCTTTACATTTATTAGCGCCCTACGTTGGACCTACCGTATTGGTTTTCCATTATTTGGCGCTATACGTTTGCCCACCTGCTCGGTAGTCGCCGAATACCAATGTGTTTCACACGAAATAAAAAAACAGCCGGGTCGGTACCCCATCGAACATGCCAAATACGACAGGCTGCTTTTTAGTTATTTTACTTGTATGTGATTTGACCCAAATTAGATTGAGCAACACGAACGTCTTTTCTACACGCGTTCGATTTCCTTAAAATAAAGTCGTGGTTTCTGAATCCCATCTGTGTAATGATTATGTAATTTCAGATACTTACAGTTGTGTGACGTCTGGTAAATAAATTATTTATGCTAACGGCCAAGACCGTTAGCAAGTAGTATGTACAGTATTGTATGATTGATGGGAGTTCGCCCAAAAAAATTGTATTCTAGCATTATTTAAATTTAAAGATGATTTACATATTACTTTTTTTGTTGCAGACATGAGCCAAGAGCTGGCCATTAATTCTTACGACATAGTTAGTACCCTGCAAGCCTTAGGTATGATGAAGTATTGGAAGGGAAAACACATCATACTCAAAAAACAGGTAAGTTTTTTCAAAATCAATGTGCAGCTCATAGTTATAAAAAACATATCGAATTTTTTTAAACTTTATTATATCAAAGAATCTCTTTGAAAATTACCGACGACCGGCAAAAACATGAAAACTTGGAATTAACTTTCCAAATAAGTGTGTACCATATGTGTGTTTAATGTTACGGGCTCTGAATATAATTCAACGATATTGATCTAATATCTAAAGGCGAATATTTTTAGACCTTTTAAAACAAATTTTCGTAAAAATAAAACCTACGACCAAGAATAGTTATCTCATGAAATTATTAATACCTTATAGTTTCAATAGACTGTATATACAAATTTAACAAATAATAAATGAAGTTAAACTACTGTATTTGTGGTAAGCTTATTTGAAAACCAAACCCCGAAATGTGTATTATGAAAATAATACTATTACTATTCCAATTTAAATTTGGTATTTAAAATAATGTATAGCACATCGATGTCTTACTGGGCTGTTGTAATTTGACTTTTTGATTAATGAAAGGTAGTGCTGTTTATTTTATAATTTATCGAGTTCCACATGATCATGTAGAGCGCGTTTACAAATTATTGATGTAATGTATGAAATTATATTTAATTGATTTCGAGGAAAAATAATTAACCATCCCGTATCGTCTGAAATTATGATGAATTTTGAGAAAAAGGCTGTAAACATTTCTAGAATCAATGTTTGTATTATCGTACAAAGCAATGTATTTAACTTGAATTCGCAGAATTTTAAAACTATACTCGCACGTTTGTCAACGGTAAATTAGGAAACTTTGACTACTATTTGTTATGCATTACGTTTTCGTTTAATTGAATAGAATAATAAAATACTCAAAATTATACTTTAATATTTAGAGGTGTTTTTGAGTAACTGAATAATTTTAAACTATAGTCTCTTACCAGTCGGTTCACCGAAAATTTGCCGTCGCTTTAATTTTTTTTTAAATACAATTTATATATCTCATGTAATTTTTTTTCGGTTACATTTCTATTAAAATTTTAGGTTCTCCGAATAGTTATAGAAACACTTTTTCCATAGATTATAAAAACATATTGAGTGACAAGTTTTAATCTGTTTTAAGACGTGTATTATAAAAATTTTATACTATGCTTGTACAAAACTAAAGGAAAGAATAATGAAAAAATATCTATTTTTTCTAAATCGATTTTACTTTATGTTAAGAATACTGTTTGGATTTTGCGCTATCTTGACACATTTCTAACTATAATAATTACAATCTATGAACTGGGCGTTTAAAAGTTCAGAAAACGCTATGAAAATATACATAAGAGTTCTAAAATTATTTTTCTATTAAAATAAATACGGTAAAAATATGTTTTACAGAGATACACTCGTGGCGAGAGTTAAGAAATTGGGTGATATTTATTTTTTATAAAAAATTAATTTTGAGCATTGTTATATGTAAATTTTCCCATTCATGGGTATGGGCGATGATGCCTATGATTTTAAAATTTAGCTGTAAAAATAAAAAATTGGCAAATGCATATTTATAAAAATAAAAGTATGATACGCGGATTGGTTAATAATATAGTTTTTATCCTTTTGTCTTTTGATACATCAATAGTATAGATGTATTGATTCCATACCAATAATATTTTCATGTCAAACGATCAGTTAACTAAAGAAAATTATAAAAATCAAACTTTATTTTATACAATATATATTTTTAAATCATATCATACTATAATTATACAAATTTTAACATATTATGTGACAATGTATTAAAACAATAGTAAATTCTTAGTGGGTGCCATTACCCCATTATCACTTTCTTATACTCAAGCGTTTATAATTCTATGAACAAAGATTATAAATAATTAATTCCACTGGACAATCAAAATTACTTATGTTTAATGAGTGGAGTTTGTAAATTATTTAAATTAAGTAAATATATGAATATTTATATTATATTATATTTAAATATATAATATTTAGATCAATAGCCTTTTAAAAATTGATTAATATCAATGGTCTTCTTAAGGTTTCGTCTTATTTCTTATTATAACATATAACATTTTTTTACTAACCCCTCTAAAATACATCCTTATTATATATTTATTTTTATTTTAGGCGGTTATAACCCCCACATCCTCCCCGCGAGAATTCCAAAAATTCGCATTTACAGAACAGTCTATGATGAAATTTTGCAGACCGTTCTATATAATATTAATATCTAAGTGTAAATTCAAAAATATGCATTTTAACTTTGAAGGAGTAATACAATTTTTTAGTCATGACAATATTTCATAATATTAATTCAAAGATATCGATGTGAGCAACATTATTATAGTTTGTGGCAGTATTTTTTGAAGTATAAGATGTTGATAAAAATCTTGACAGTTTTTTTTTTACTGCTATAACATTTGACGGTCAAAATATTGATTTTACAGAATTTTTTATTTAATAGCGGATAAAGTTTAATAGATTCTCGTAGAAAATATAATCCAGTTTTGTAGCAATTTTTTTACTTGTAAGAGCTTCTTATTATACTGTGTTTGACGTGAAATCTCACAGTTTTATACGATTAGACGTTTTTAACACTCGAATTCAATATATATAATCTCTTCCCATCAACCAGGTCAGAAGATTATGTGATTTTTGTGGTCTAATTAATTCCAAACGTGTACTTCTCATAATCGTATGAGAAATTCTATTGAACGTACCAAGCTACATTTTTAAAAACATTGTATTGAAAAAAAAAAAAAAAAAAAAAAAACATCAACTACGAAAGTCTTGTTTACAACATTTCCTAAAGATTTAGTCTAATCCGAAATAGCCTGACAAAAGCTTAACCAGAGTATTTCTAAGATACTCCATCACAATATTGTACCACGACCTTTGTTCTTATTTTTTATTTACTCGTATCGCGTTCACTACACGACAGTAATGACCGCAAGGAATATTGCCCACACACTACCGCATTGATTAATTGTTTTTAATGCTATTAATGTGACGACCGTGAAACGCTATACATCACTTAATATTTTGAACGAGTCTTTAACCACTGTGACATACTCTATTGGTATGTGACTTATACATTTAACGTACGCGTAATGTCAGTAAACAGCGAATAAAGACCAAATACTTTACCAGTGTTGATAAAACCAAGGAAATGTTGACAAATTAAATTTTCATTAATTTATCATTCAAAGTACCAAAAAGTTATTGAATTGAAATAATAAAGGTTATAAATCAGTTCTATAAAGAAAAAATTTACTTTTAACATTTATTTAAACATAATGAAAATTAAAAGTCAAAAGTCTCTTTATATAAGTTTATGAAACTTTTAACATTTTCTTTAGTATACTATTAACAAATGTGCCCATTACACTCTTTAACATAATTGTATGAATAAAATAATTTTAGTTTGAACCAAAACTTTTGAACTTTTTGTGGCATAAATATACGCGTAAGTTTTATAATAAACAAGAAACCCATAAAAAATTATTTGTTGATTAATTTTTTTATTTAAATTAATATTGAACATCTAAATTGGATTTTCAATAGGTTTTAATTGTAGAATCATTTTTAAATTAAATATTACTTATTGATAATACTTATCTCAATAATTAATTAAAAATTGTTCTCTGCTAATATGAATAAATATAAGTAACACCAATTTATCATGTACTGTAAACTATTATTCTCTTAAGTATCCAAACTAATTAAATATATTCGCAGAATATTAACAAGTATAAAATTAAAATACACTGAATCATTTTCATATGATTTATATTTTTTTCGATGTTTTATGTTAAATTTTAATCGCTCTGAACAATTTTCTTTTTTGCCAAATATTAGTAAATTCCCGTATTTTCGAATGATTTATATTTTCAAACATAATATAAAAGTAATTAAATACTTATAATTGGCAAAACGATATATTAATTAGTGGAAAATTTGAATAAATATAAACAAAAATAAATTCTGTACCAATTTTTTTTTATTACCTCAACATGTGATTTTATCATTTTGTATGTTTGCTCTTTAGTACTGACCAACACCTTATCCTTTAATTGTAAATAGATTTTTCTCTTTGTGTTATTTACTTACTAAGTTTTTATTTAGAAATATGGAAAATAAATAAGTGGACGTTTATTTAAGTCGGATAACAGTTAATCAATAATTACTAAATAATTTGAATCTTATCGTTGTATAAACATAAAACTGTTCGTTGCCTCTTTTTGAACTCTCTCATTACCAAAATGCGTGTAATTATCATTAATAGTTAATGTGTGTCGACGGTGATTTAGTATCATATATTTAGTATAAAGATAGTAGTAGTCTAATGGCTCAAGGCGTGAAGGTTTGCCAATTATATTCTTTGATTTGGTCGTGGCCCATGACTTGAGCTCACGAGGTCAATGGTTTTTGCAAACGATTTGTTTTCGGCAGTTTATTATTTTTTCTGTTGCTTTTCAAAAAGAAAAAACTATATTGTCAAAAATTATTCCATAAGAAACGTCAAAATTATTATTATTCGAGTAGCCTGACAATGATTATGATTGTTGTCTGAGGATAAATTATTTTTTAAATTTACACTGCTCAATGGATGGTTTTTGCCGAATATTTGTCTCAGTTTCCCATGCACCTGGAAAACGCGCGTTTTTACACGACAATAGAATTTGATTATTTTCCAAGAGCTGAAAAACACTTTGAAACCCAACCCCGTACGCCAATCAACGTCATTCGACGAAGAATATTCTTAAAATTATATTTTTTGTGTACTTTATTGAACAAATATGCGTGTTTTGAATTCCGGTAAACTCAAAACAACAACTGTGTTACGCTCAGGAAATTAATAAAAGTTATTCGCATTGGAGCTGCGCGGCCTTTGACAGAACCTACACGGGTTTGTAAAACAATAACTCTGAATTTTACAAGTTGTACGTTTAATAAATATCTTTAAAGGGAAAATCAATTGAAATCAAATTTAAAGGCTTCCTGAATAAAGCGAAAAAAAATAAAATTATCGACACACATGCCGTCCGTGCCAATTATCTCTTTTGACATCCTTATATTGACCATCTTATTGTGATAAAATAAGCTGGTTTTTGAATTCCATCGTGTCAGATAATTATTCGAAACTATTATTAATTTTACTTTTAAAAATTTAACTTTGTGTCATTTGTATTAATTTCCTACTCCCATCCCTTTTTTCGGATTTTCTGAGATTTAAAATATCGCTTATTAATAATGCAAAAATAAAATAGCCTTTTTTGTTTTTCTTACTAATTTATTGGACGGACATACTCTATGAATTTTCTGACATAAAGTATAATACACGTTTGAATGTACTCGTTTTTTTTGCATAACCTATTAATCTTTACATATCAAAGAGTTTTGGGACTAAGAAAAAACATTTTATTAAAGAAACTATACATGTTTTTGATCTAATCATTTACCACGTGTGTCTCGTGTGGTTTGGTTATTTATTTTGTTAATTCTTATGCATGACTAACGTATTTTATGTATTTAATCGTTTAAATTATATGACTGAATTTCATTTAAGACATCTCCTTTCAAACAGGACCATTAATAACTTTTATATTGTGAACTAACATCTGCTATGTACGTGCAACGAAAACAATTTGTCGTTGCCGTACGTTTATAGTTCCAAGGGACTAAACGACTACGACGTTTGTTTTTGTTTATTCAAAGGTATTCATTTGCAGAGAATTACACTGTAAAATTACATGGTTATAATTAGTTCCTGTGTTGCCGAGATTGTAACCGCGATTAGAGAAAAACAATTTCGGGGTCGTTTCTATCGCCTCATTATTGTTTAGAGTATTTGGACAATTTCCTTACTTCATTAAAACGCACTTATAATTTGTAATTGTGTTAAATTGTCAACCAGATCTGCTGTACTGCCCTACCGAAACGTTTCCTGGTATGTCTGATAATAACTAAATTATATATTTTTTTAAATATATAATTTCTTCTGCGATAAAACTGTTCAGACGGGTAAAAATTAATGAATTCAATCAAATTTAACCTGCAGTATTGTTGATGTTATCGAATTATTTTTAGTATTGCTTAAAATGAGTTATCATCAGAAATAAGGTTGATTTCGATTATTTTATTTTTCAGGATGTTATTGACGAATACTTGGAAAGGTCAAAGAGACGAGGTTCGGAGTATAAAGAAATCGATGGGAAGTTTTTGAGGTGGCGGCCGCGATCGGCTCCCGCACCGTCCGGACCCACGTGAGACAAACTCTGTCCCCGGTAAGTACTGAAATAACTATTAGGATGATTAATTTTAAATTAAGTATAATAATGTGTCAGGTTCAGCCAAGTCCCAAAAGTAAGGTGAAGTTATTTTCTTAACGTTTTACATAAAACTCATTCAGAAAATAAATAATTTAATCACAGTTTCTTGTTTATACCAACACTTGCCGTAAATCCTAAATTAAAATCTTAAAAATTTAATTAAAATGACATAATATGTTATTTCGTGCGTGTATATAATACAAGTACGAAAAACTAACATATAATTATTTAGTATTGAAATTAATAATTAATTTTAATTATTTAATTAAGTCACCCGTACGGTTTCAGTGCCGATTCTCTCGTTTAAAAAATTAGTAAGTTATTATTTTACATAATTACATACATCTTTTTTACATGAAATAATAAGTTATATATTCATTCCATTGTAAGTAATGATCATTTTTAAATATGGTTATCTAAAATTACTTTTAAGTAATTTGTTTTGAAAATACGTAATATCTGAAATAAATTGCTTCATTTAAAAATATTTAATTTACACTTAAATAACGTAACATGAAAATGTGTTTTAACAAATTTGCTTTCAGCAAATTCAATCGGAATATTTAAAACATATTTCAAATAATTTTGAGGACATTAATTATCGTTTCGTTTAAAAACACCTGATATCCATTTTTAAGATATTTTCAGAATTTTTATAATATTATTAAGTTATAAAGCGTTTCGTAATTTTTAAATATAAAAGTCTCAAAGTTGCACTCAATTGATATAATCAACTTTATGGTTATCTGATTTAAAAGTAATTTTTTCATTTACCTATGTCAGTTACTTATCAAGATACAGGATATAGTCCTTATAGATATTAAATTTTTTATATTTTTTTATATTTTCTGATAATTTCGATAGTTGTGCTTTCTAAAAAAAAATGCTATAACTCCTTTTCCGTCATAAATTTGACGAAATTCAATTTAAAATATTTGTTTTAATGTCCATATTGACAAAAAAAATCCACAAACTTATTAAACTTGTATTGTTGTTACATAAATTGTTGCGTACAAATTTCATAATAAATAGATGAGGTATGAATTAAAAATGAAAAATATTGTTGTCATAATCTTGTGTTTGTAAACGGAACGACTAATATTTAAGCCATTAAAAAAATATTGACCAAAACGACGAATTATTTATAAAGATAAACAATTAGTCACATAAAAGTTATGATAACTCAAATGAAACGATAAAGGAGTTTTGAAAAATTATTTGAAAAAGATTTAGTTTAAATTCTGTCGCGATGAATGCCGCCCACATAGTTAGTTGGTTTTCTCTGTCATTCCAATTATTTATAAATGAATTGTCATTCAGATGTAAAATTAAAATACAGCCAAGTCTGTTCTTGATTACATTACTTTTTGTCCCTTTGTCAATACGCATAATATTGAACCGCGTTTTCCAGTTAGAGTAACGTAATAATGTGACTTTCTCGGGCACATAGTTTATTCCAGAGAAATATAAAGTTTAATTATTATTCAGCAAATGTTTGCCGAGAAAAGCAATAATAATAATTATTATTGCTTTTCGTTGCTGTAATGAATGTGTAGCAAGGGGATGGGACGCGGCACTGCTGCGTACGTTGGGCTGTCGGGGTCGACAGACGGCTTGATAAAAATTCGCCTGCGGTGTCCGCGCGATGCAACCGGTGTGCAGCGAGTGGAGCCGGTGACCGTGCGGCGTGACGTTGACGCGTTGCACCGCTGATAACGTATCGACCGAACAGCGTTACGCGGCACAGAGCCGGCCGGCCGATCGATTGCGCATCGACACGCGCGCCCGAAAAAAAGCGCAACATTATTTCGCTTTTGCAACCAGCCGCCGCTCTGAGACGATCCGATTGAGTACACGTGTATATTAATAGAGCGCGGCCGGTCCCTGAACCGCTCGTATGCCTAAAACGGTTGTCGGCCGCGCGCACACACAGCCGTGTTTTGTCCGCCACCTCCGGCTCAGCTCGCCGCCGCGGACCGACACGCGGAGGTGGTGCGTGTCCTTCAAATCTGCGAGTTTTTTGACCTCAACCGCCACCGAAACTTGGTCCCGCCGAGGAATTGCCCACCTCGTCACGGGCACGCGGCCCTTCTCCCGAAATCCGCGTTGTTATTGTAATTATGACATTATTAAATCCCTTTGCCTCCCCTTCTAAAAAACTTCTAGTCTATTCCCTGCCTACATTTCCAGTTACTGCCCCTTACCGGGAATTCGTTGTTGTTGATGGTCTTGTTTTTCCTCTGATTCACGTTGTAGTATTTACCGTCGTACACTTTTCTCCCCATTGCTTTGTATAATTTTTATTAAAAGATTTATAAAATAAAACCTACAACATTATTTTAATAGCCTTTGATGTACGAAACTTAATTTAAACGTTTCCTTTATATTCCCAGACAACACAAAAATGGTTTACCTCGAATATTATTTGTTTAATTAAAATAATAAAACAAGCAACTCATTTACTGAGCTGATTTTTTGTTTTTATTTACTGACAAACTAAAAAGTAATAAACCTTAAATGTTTGATCGTGCGCTTTTTTGAGCGTATACATTTACCCTGATATTTCATAACTAGTTGTACTTAAATTATTAAGCTGAATACAAATATACAGAATATTTATTTTATTCGATTTTTACGGTTGGGTTGGGATCATTTGAGATAATTTATAAATTTCAAAAAAAATTATTTAATAATACCAATCAACAATTTTAAATAAAATTTTTTTTTCTTTAAAAAACCCCAATAGTATTTTTAGACAAATATTTTATCAGACTATTATAATTATTCTTATTTTACTCATAAGTAGTGCTAACTTGTACTGATAAAAATATTATTGCGGTAAATGTCCATCTCTATACTTATTCGCGAGAAATTCATAAAAAAAAAAAATTGTTATTTTTTATCATGTTACATGCCGATCGATGTCTACTTGTCTAGCACACGTACTCTAATGAGTATGCGTAGTAACCATAGGTTGCAAAATTCACTCGAGAAAGTAGAGAAGATATTTAAAAAAACTGTCAGACTAATATTTATACTTATTACATACCTTAAATTATAATTTTAATGAAATCATTAGTATATGGCGTTTGAACAAAACGCACCTAAATACATATTACCAAAGATTATCTGCTAATAATGAAATTGCTTGTTTCTGGATTGTAATTTTTTATGAACTTTTGAAACAAAGTTAGAAGTTGGGTAGACGTAGTCTGAATTCAGTCCTCAAAATTACAATATGTAGACCACCAGAAATATATGTATTTATGAACCCACAAAATTTTTTTTCAACTTATATATTCCCTGTGAAACAAATCGCGCAAACTTTTTTCAGTTTTAAAAATCCAAGTATAAAATTTTTTTTTTTTTTAATCAAATTTAATAAAATATCAAATAGTTTACTTTGAAGATGATTTCATCTCTTCTAAATTTATTTCTAACCATATTTGTGAATTAATTAACCAAATTTTCATTTACCTGCTTTTAAAACAAATATTAGTATTGGACTATGCAGACTAATTTTTATTTAGAAATAACTGCAATTAAAAGAATAATGGAATACGTTTTTTTACTAACATGCCTAGGTAGTGATTTGAGCCAACATTATTTTATTACTATAAAGAGTAGTCCCAAAATAAAAAAAGTAAAAACATTGCGCTTAACGTGTTATTAGAAAAAAAAGTTTGATCTTATTGAAATAATTGACATTTGTGTCAAACTATCATGACCCACACAATGTATTTTAACGTTGAACTACTCCGAAAGGGATACCGGCCAAGTTTTTTCTCATGTACAAACCAAAAAATACTTCATTGACGTCAATATTGTTTAGTAATTATTTATAGACTGCATGTTATGACTATGTTTGTCCTACACCAAGGGATTTAATGGCTACTCTGAAATAATCCAACGGAGATCTCTAAAGGCGGTAGACTTCGCCAAATCGAAATGTTGTGATCATTTTAAGCTCGTAGGTACTTCATCAACCTACCCGGTCAAACACTGTCTAAGCACGTCTAACCAAAGCATTACTAGGTATTGTTAAGCCTAATCCTGACCATGATTGTCGTCGACACTCTACTGATGAATGCCTAGATCTCTGAAGAGAAAACTCGGTCGGGGTGAAAAAATATACCTTTATTGTTGTTAGAGCGACGCCATGTATGAAAAAACAACAATAACAATCAAGTGCATTCTTCTTTGACCTTTGACAAATTTTTACTCTCAATACAATTTGCTATCTGTCAATAATCTTTTCGTCTACGCTCACTGATCTCGTAGACATAAATTCTATAACATTATGCTTGACGCATTGTGTTCCAAGCGCAAATTGTTTAAAAAGAAATTTACACCAATGATTACTTTTTAGACAAAGGAAAAACAACGTGTTTAAACTGAAAAAGATATTCAGGTGACACACTTTGTACAATTATGTGTTTATCAATCATTTTCTATGCAGAAGTTTGATAATGACTGGTTTTCGTGCACAATTTTAGGGCCAAGTAATGCTAACAACTATTCCATCCTTTCGTTCGTCCATGTTTACATTAAAAAACTATTAAAATTTGTTGGAAAAATTAAAACGTTTCTCGTGAGATTATTCTTTCAGAACGTTTGAACGAATTTATAAATTATTTGTATCATGTCATCAAGTAGAGTTTTGTCTCCGATTGAATATCATTCGCCGTTTCCAACAAGAACTGAATATGATTTCGAATAGATAATTTCATCGTTTGAAGGCTTATGATCACTCGAGTGAACAAACACGATCAACAGTCTAAACGCCTCATACAGTTTTCTCAATAAAGTCATTGGACTCTTATAAAAAATATAAATCTCTCTCCTGTAGATATTTTCGTTGATCAAGATTCATTACTAAAATTATATAATGAAAGTGTATAGAATTCAACAATTAATCATTTAATTCTACTTTTTTTTTTTTTTTTTTCAGGACGCCGTCTATAAGAGAATTGTCCCAAAAGCTCCGGCGGCCGAGGAGATAGAGACAAACCGTTCGGTGGGAAACTTGCGACGAGAGACAGTTTGTGTGATTACTAATTTAAATTAGCAATACGTACAACGACGACCCGGTTGGAGTAACGCGACTGCGGTGGCACTGCAATCGATTTCACTTCTTGTTATACTAGTGTAGTTTTTTAATTTGATTGTTGTCGGCATTTGTTTATGTGCTCGTCCTTCGCACGTGGTACCGCGTTGTTCGATGAACCCTCTGCGTGTCATCTACCCCGAGATCGAGCACGAGAGCAAAGGCCAAAATAACATTGTTACGGTGGGCGGCGAAGGTCGAGTTTTGCAGCCCGCGCACGTCCACCTTTTCAACACACAAGGCGTACACCCATCTCCCCGTTTTCGACTCTTGCCCTCCCTCCCGATCCGACAATCTTTGCCGCGTTGACACCATCCCGGAGTCGTATTCTCCTCTGCGCCTTGCCAAACACCGTCGGCAATACCCTAAGGAAATACTCGTGTCGTTGTCTCACGTGCGGCGTACCCCGTCCACCGTGGGGCCTTACCTTGTTCAAACAAATTACGCTTAACGCACAGTTTCCAAACAAATAGCCGCCGTCGATGACACGCCTAAATTCCCAAATGTTTAATCGGATTAACATTAGTAGAAACACTTGGGGTGTGTCGATCGCTGGAGATACTTTCGTTTTTATTGTATTTTGCACAACTACTTTCTTGTTAACTCTGTTGGGGTCCGGACCGGTGTGTAGTATAGTTATTGTGTTATAGACTTAATTGGGTGCTATCATTTTTGTATATTTAGCTGATTGTAAAATTATAAATTATTTAAATAATGTTACTTTTTATGGTTTTAATTATCCTATCGTTTTTTTTTTTTTTTTTTTTATAAATATTGAACGCGTTTTTTTTTATAACCTTAAATAAAGTTTATTTTGTAATAATTTACCCTTGCATTATCTATCTGTACAGATATGTCCAACTCGTGTACAACACAATACTCTAAAAATGTACATTATGTTCGTTTTATTATTATTACCATGTAATGTTTACCCTGTTTATAATTACTTGTAATTTTGTATTCGTGTAGTACTGTATGAGGGGTAACTTTATACGTTTTAAATAAAGTTACTCTTTTTATTTCCGTTTTGACTAAAGGTTATTATACTTGTATATTATATTTTTATTTTTTATTGCATTCTCCGTGATCCTGTTTACTTGATTTCTTTACATTTCCACTCAATTCTGTTGATTAAATTTCGATGAGGTGGTACACACTCTTGCAGATTAAACGTTTTGAAATTTACGCCGGTCGTAAAAAAAAAAACTAAAAGATGAAGCAGAGACAAAGAATATAAGCAAATCCCGCTGTATCGCATTTGTGTCATAAAAATTCCCCGAGCCTAATCGATACCAGGCAAATTGCTCAGGGGTAACCAAATGTCTCCAAAAGGTATAAAAATCGACCGTTGGACATTATGACTGTACAATTAGAAACGATTGGTACATATTGTTTAGAGATAATTCGATTATCTTTAAGTGACCGTCTAAACCTAATTTACTCAGTCTTCTAAAACATAACATTTGGCGCCGTCTGTAGGTACTCATGGTTGTATGCAATCTATACTACAAACTATGATTCGTTCTTATTTCTAGAACGGTAATGTCTATCGCCAATAAGTATATTCTAAAATTAAAACCAATTTGATTCCCCTTTGCCTAATGATGACTTGCAAACAAACAACGGAGTTCTAATCAGTTTTCCCGTCATGTAATAATTGAGTAATTGAATCAGTTATTGCAAAAATTAGTAAGATAAAGTTTAAAAAAAGATGTCAAAAGTTTAAATTGATTCAAAATACCCTATAAAATATTCATTTGGTTACAATAAAATATATTTAAAAGTCTCATATAAAACAACATAAAATCAAAATTATCACCTCTATATTTAAAATAACTGTTATGTTGCATCCCTTTGGCTATTGATAATTATTATAATAATTCAAACTATATCACTTTGTGAAGACAATTAATTTGACAAGTATTATTATGTTTGAAAAGTTTGATCGCAAATAAATAATTTTAACGCAGAGGAAAATAAAAAAAAATTAAATGAAAATATATTATTATATTATTATAAAATAATAAATTCTTATAGTTTCTCAAAGTTCTACATTTCTATAGCCTTTTAATATTTATGCATTTCTATGTCTTCTTAAAATTTGAAAAGCTATAAAAATGCAAAATGTGAGACCATGAAAAAGAAAAAAGAAAATTATGAGCAACCATATAAATGCATATTTATGGATTGTCAATTTTAACATTTTTAAGATTTTATTTCTATGTCTTCTTATAATTTAAAAAGCCATAGAAATGCATACAAATTTAGAATTCATAAAAATTCAAAATGTGAGAAACCATTAAAAAGGAAACTGTTGTAATGCATTTCTATGACTTCTCAATTGTTTTGCATTTTTATGGCTTCTAAAACAATAAAAAAATGCATAATCACTAAGAAGTGTAAAAAATTTTTAAGCCATAAAAATATAAAAAATTAAAAAGCCATACATTTCTATAGTTTTTTTAAAGTTTCTAAATTCCACTAAAATTTTTAAGATTTCCAAATATCAGTTACAATAAAATCACCGACTCAAGTCGCCTTTAATAAATAAAAAAATTTGCTTTAGAAGCTTTTCATTTTGAGGTGATAAATGTTCGAAATACGAAATAGTGTAATGAAAGAATAAAAAATGTTAATTTTTTTTTCTACATGAAATATTATCAATTATAACCTAATAGATATTATGTAATATTTAAAAATTTCGGGAGTTCATGAGATATGAACTCCGTTTCCTTGGCTATACACAAAGTATTACTAAAAATTTTTAAAATTAAAAAACTTCTTCTTCTTCTCCCCGCCTTAATCCCAACTACTTGGGGTCGGCCGCCCTTATTAACTTCCACTGACACGATCTCTNAGAATAAAAAATGTTAATTTTTTTTTCTACATGAAATATTATCAATTATAACCTAATAGATATTATGTAATATTTAAAAATTTACCCAACCGTTTCCTTGGCTATACACAAAGTATTACCAAAAATTTTTAAAATTAAAAAACTTCTTCTTCTCCCCGCCTTAATCCCAACTACTTGGGGTCGGCCGCCCTTATTAACTTCCACTGACACGATCTCCCACATCCTCTACGCTCACATCAGCTGTCTTCATATCGCTTTCAATAACATAAATCATAGCTGGCCTCACTGCAGTCTTGTAGAATTTACCTTTCAGCTTCATTGAAATTCTTTTATTACATAAGACGCCAGACACTTCTCCCCACTTCAATCACCCGCACTTAATTCTGTATCCTACATCCTCGTCCATATCACCACTCTTTTGCACAACTGACCCTAAATACTTAAAACGTTCTACCTCTCCAATCACGACCGCGCCTATTTTCACTAATCTCCTCATTTCACTTACCTCGTGTTCTCCTTTGTCAAACTCGTACTCTTTATACTCTATCTACTTCTACTTAATCTTAAACCTTTTTCTTTAAGAGCTGATGTCCACACCTGTAGCTGTTGATTAATTTCCTCCCTATTTTCTCCTATTAACACTATGTCGTCAGCAAACAACATACACCACGGCACCTCTTCTTGTATTTCTCTAGTACTTTTATCCATCACTATAGAGAATAAGTAAGGGCTTAAAGCAAAACCTTGGTGCACTCCTACTCTTACCTAAAAACCTTCTGATACTCTTCCTACGCTTTTTACCATAGTACAAGTGCCATCATACATATCTTCTATTATATTTATATAGCTATTCAGTATTCCTTTTCCCATTAATCTCTCTTGGTATTCTATCATACGCTTTCTCTAAATCTATAAATACCATACACAGCTTTTTCTTTTTTTCCCTAAACTTTTCTATTAGTTGCTTCACACAAAATACTGGCTCCATTGTTGACTTACCAGGCATAAATCCAAACTGGTTTTTACATGAAGATGTCTCATTTCTTATTCTCTTATCTATTACAATTTCCTAAATTTTCATACTATAACTCATAAGTTTTATGCCTCTATAATTTCCACACTCCTGTATGTCACCTTTACCTTTAAATATCGATACCACAATACTATTTCTCCATTTGGATTTTTCCCTTCTAATAAGATTTTATTAAAAGTTCCTTCAACCACCTTATGCCAACACCGCCTAATATTTTCTTTACTTCTACTGCTTTATTCTTTTTCATTGATGCCACAGGCTCCGTACCTCTTTCTCACTAATTAAATTTACCAGTCCCTCATTCCACGAGATATCCTCTAACGTCTCTTTTGGATACTCCTCATTCAGTAATTTTTCAAAATATTCTTTCCACCCTTTCACATCATCAGCACTCGAGAGTACCTTATTATTAATTATTTTATACACCTTATATAATGATAATTTTTAAACCTTTTCTCTCTTACTTTTTCAAGTCTATAAATTTCTTTCTCGCGTTCCTTTGTTCCTAGTCTATCATACAACTCATCATACCTCTTTAACTTTGCCTTNCCTCATTCCACGAGATATCCTCTAACGTCTCTTTTGGATACTCCTCATTCAGTAATTTTTCAAAATATTCTTTCCACCCTTTCTTTCACGTCATCAGCACTCGAGAGTACCTTATTATTAATTATTTTATACACCTTATATAATGATAATTTTTAAACCTTTTCCCTCTTACTTTTTCATGTCTATAAATTTCTTTCTCGCGTTCCTTTGTTCCTAGCCTATCATACAACTCATCATACCTCTTTAACTTTGCCTTACTTACTGCACACTTGGCTTCTTAGCACATACGTTTATACTCTATTCAATCTTCTCTCCTTTTGCTCTTCTGCCATACTTTGAATTGCTTTTTTTTACTTTCCGTGATTTATTGAACTTCCTCATCCCACCACCACGTTCCCTTATTTCCTGGCATTCTACTCCTACTCTCACCAACAATCTCCTTTGCAGTATTCTTTACACTACTAGCAAATCTATTCCACACACCATCTATGTCTCCCTTGACATTCCACGCTGTCCTCTATTTTACCGTCTTTACAAACTCTTTTTCATTTTCCTCTTTCAATTTCCACCACCGGATNTTATACTCTATTCAATCTTCTCTCCTTTTGCTCTTCTGCCATACTTTGAATTGCTTTTTTTTACTTTCCGTGATTTATTGAACATCCTCATCCCACCACCACGTTCCCTTATTTCCTGGAATTCTACTCCTACTCTCACCAACAGTCTCCTTTGCAGTATTCTTTACACAACTAGCAAATCTATTCCACACATCATCTATGTCTCCCTTGACATTCCACGCTGTCCTCTATTTTACCGTCTTTACAAACTCTTTTTCATTTTCCACCACCGGACCTTCGATTTTTTCCCCGTATTTCTTCTATTTTTATATATTCTCTTTCCAGTACACCACACCTCCATTACCATCAATCTATGTTGTATAGTTACACTCTTGCCTGGTATAACTTTATAATTTTTTACTCGCTTTACGCTCTCTCTCTCTTCCACATAAAAAAATCAATCTGTGATCTATTCCTCCCAATCTTATAAGTTATATAATGTTCTTCCTTCTTTCTAAAATAAATATTAACCACAGAAAGATCGTGCGATACTGCGAAATTCAGGATTCTTTCTCTCCAGCCTCATTCTTCCTACTAAAACCATACCTTCCATGTACTCTTTCATATCCTCTCCTCTCATTACTTACATGTCCATTCATATAATCGCATTCTCATTGCCAGGTACTCCTTGCATTACTTCATCCATCTCTCTAAAATACTTCCTTGTCTGTTTCATGACTTCCTACTTATGATGAATAGGCACTTATTACATTCAACACTTTTTCCTCGTATGTCAATTTTACTATAATTCTGTCACTTTTCCTAGCTATTTCTATTACTTTACTTTTCATTTCCTCANCTCTCTAAAATACTTCCTTGTCTGTTTCATGACTTCCTACTTATGATGAATAGGCACTTATTACATTCAACACTTTTTCCTCGCATGTCAATTTTACGACTATAATTCTGTCACTTTTCCTAGCTACTTCTATTACTTTACTTTTCATTTCCTCATCCATTATTATCCCTACGTCATTCTTTGTACTATACTTCCCTGAGTATA